AAATCCTTGGATCTTTGTCAGAAATAATACTAGAAGGCACTCCATGCAACCGTACTATCTCTCTAATATACAACTGTGTAAGCCCCTCCAAGGACCACCTCTTGACAGGAAGAAAGTGCGCACACTTTGTCAATCCTATCAACAATCACCCAGATAGAGTCACTATTCCTAGCTGTCCTAGGCAACCCAACCACAAAGTCCTTAGTGACACTATCATACTTCCACTCGGGAATCTCCATCAGCACTAAGCTCAAAACCAACTACCTTCTCGGTACCAAGAAATCCCAAAATCCTCAACAACTCTGGATCCTGTAATTGCTTAGTTCCCACCTGTCTCAAGAACTCATTAGTTATGGTGATCATACCACAACTAATGTGATCTTGAACAACCTCAATCTCTAGTCTCAAATCTCTGAACTGCTCAATCAGTTCCAACTCCCTAATTATCATAGCCGACATATGAATGGATTTCCTAATCAATACATCTACTACCACACTCGCCTTCCCAGGATGATATATCAACTGGAAATCAAAGTCTTTTAGGAATTCCATCCACCTCCTCTGCCTCATTCAACTCCTTCCGATCAAACAGGTACTTCAAACTCTTGTGATCACTGAATCTCGCACCATACAGATAGTGCCTCCACAACTTCAAGTCAAACACCACAGCTGCAAGCTCCAAATCATGAGTAGGATAGTTGCTCTCATGGGTCTTAAGTTGCCTCGAAGCATATGTCACTACTCTCCCTCCCTGCATCAACACACAAGCTAACCCCCGGTGAGAAGCATCACAGAACACATCAAAATGCTTACCAGTGCCGGGTAATACCAAAATTGGAGAAGTAGTCAATCACCCCTTCAATTCCTGAAAACTCTGCTCACAAGCGTCTATCGAAACAAAAGGCTAATCTTTCCGAGTCAGTTGAGTCAAAGGCATTATTATTCGAGAGAAACCCTCTATGAACCTCTGATAGTAACCCGCTAACTCAACAAGACTCCTAATCTCCGTAGTAGTCCTCAGACGCACCCACTAAATCACAGCCTCCACTTTGGATGGATCCACTGCAACCCCCTTCTACCGATATCACATGCCCCAAAAATCTCACCTCGGACAACCAAAACTCACACTTGGACAGCTTGGCATACAACTTCCTCTCCTTCAGCACCTCTAAAACCAACCTTAGATGCTCATGGTGATCCTCCAAAGATCTAGAATACAACAAAATATCATCAATGAAGACCACCACAAACCTGTCCAAGAATGACCTGAAAATCCTGTTCATGTAATCCATGAACACTGTCGGAGCATTAGTGACACCAAAAGGAATCACTACATACTCAGTCCTTATCGTCAACTTATTCAGTTGCCGATAATCAACACACAAACGGGCCCCACCATCCTTCTTCACTAATAGTACCGGGGCACCCCAAGGAGAAACATTGGGCCTTACCATCTATTTCTCCAACAAATTCTCGATCTGTCTCTTCAGCTCTACCAACTCAACTGAAGCCATCCTACAAGAAGCCACTGATATTGGTCCTACACCTGGTATCAGATCAATGCTAAGCTCAACATCATGCATAGGTGGCAATCCCAGCACATCATCTAGGAAACACCTTAGGAAACTCATTGACAATCTCAATCCAAGTGATGGCCCTCTTCGTCTCAACATTCAAAACGGCAAACAACATGAAGCACTCAGCTCCATCTCTCATCAACTGCTCAGCCTGACCCGCTGGCAACAACATCTCATCTTCCAACTAAGAAAATACTAACTCTCTCCGAGCACAATCTATAAGGATGTGATGGGCAGATAATCAATCCATCCTTTAGATTATGTCGATATCCACCATAGGCAACATAATCAGGTTCACCCAGAACCTCCCACCAAACACCTTTATCGGGCATCTCACACGCATCTCCGAGGTCACCACAAAATTGAAGCCGGAGTAGACACATACCAATCAACGTGCAATGTAGACACTGACAAACCCAATCTTCCCACACAATCAACAGAAAAAAAATGAATGTGTGGCACCAGAATCAAACAGGAACAAAACATCCTCACTTGCTTCCTTCCATTTCCTCTTCACCAAATCTGATGAAGTGGAAGCCTCTACACCTGATAAAGCGAAAACTCTCCCTACAGTTATAGGCCTAGGTGGCCTCAAAGCACTCCCAGATGGAGTCAATGGCATCTAACAATCTCTGGAAAGGAGGTATGGCCTGCCACATCTGAAACAAACATTCTCCGGATGGAAACAATCTCTAACCACATGTGCTCATCCACATCTATAGCATCGCACGGATGGTGCTCCACTCTAAGGAGTAGTAGGACGAGGTCCCCTAGTGACAACACCTCTCTAAGATTGAACAGGTCTGTCATAGGGTCCCCTCTGCTGGTCTCCCTTCCTGGATCCAGATGATCCCTCTTGAACTCTAGCAGCCTTGCCGCTGCTACCACCACCCTCCAATCTCTCAACAATCTTTGCCTTCTCAACCAAGGCAGGAAACTCCTCTATGGACATAAGGACTATGACCCTCTTCAGCTCATGCCTCAATCCCTCTGCAAACTTCCTACATCTCCAAGCCTCAGATATGGCCTGAGAGTAGAAACTAGCCAAATGCTCAAACCTCATAGCATACTCTGATACAGACAGGCTCCCCTACTGCAATCTCATGAACACCGCCTCCTTAGCGTATCTAACACTATCCGAGAAATACTTCTCCAAGAAAACTCTCTTTAAGCAATCCCAATCTACAACCACACCTCTGCTCCCCATCATCTTCCTGGTGCCTCTCCACCAGTACTCAGCCTCGCCTGCCAGCATGTAAACTGCATAGGCCAACAACTTCCTATTCTCAGAAGATCACAAAACACTGAAGATCTCCTCCATCTCACACAACCACTAATCTGCCACATCAGGATCTGAATCCCCCCTTCAACTGAGGAGGCTAACGTTTCCTGAACTCTACCAAATCTCTCTCATCTTGAGAGACCACCGGTCTAACTGCTTCATCCACAGCTCTACCCGCCTCCATCTAAGCAAAGTGAGCACTCTGCTGCTGCATCGCCATGGCCATCATCTTCATGGCCTTAGCGATCTGATCATACTGAGGCTTCACCATACTAAAAGAATTCAAACATTGTTTTACTAACACTTCACCACTACAATTCACCAAAATTAACACATATCAGAGATATGACACAACAGAAACCTAGAAGGATCACTCCCCACAGAGTAACCCAAAAGACTCGACCGGCTCTGATACCATAAAAGTGTAACGACCCGCCATGGTCTCTACACTTAGTGGAATCGCACTACTGCTAGTGAAATTAAGAGAAATATTAAGCTGGATAACTCATACATACATGTACAAATAAAAATGAAAATAGTTAAGTTTCTGGTTATAAAATAAAACTCCATATAAGTACAGTTATCCAAAAAATTATATTCTCTAGTGCCGGTCAAGCACAGACAAAATCGCTATCCAAAATGATAACTCTAACACGAGGATCAAAACTCCTCGTCTCGTAGCGGACACCTCAACTCCAAGCTAGCCCTGACCTGCTCTCATATCAAGTATGACCATCGCAGTTCCACCACATGGAAACAGAAGGGTAAGATAGAGTTTAAAAATCAATCATACAAGTACAGACAATAGTCTATACCACACAATCATCCAACTATCAATCATGTTCATAGAGTCACACCATACTCTATCCAATACTACTCATGTATAACATACAATCCATCAATCATGAAGCTAAACACCACACACTTCATCATATTAATAATCATGTAATAAATGTATCTCATGACAGATATTAATGCATATCAATCATCATCACAAACAACCATACAGCTCAACATGAAAACCCAACTCATTCATACAACTTAGAAACAACTTTAATACAACAACAACAACAATATACAACTTAATATTTAATGCGTCGTCACGCATGTACAATTGGGAGATCTCCAACAACTGAGGTTGAGCAGTCTAGGTGGCATAAACCCTACCGAATCTAGCGTTTGACCTATCTCAATCAGGTCAGGTATAGAACAGCGTTAGGAACTCCGAAGAGAACCAGGTATAGACAACAATAGTTGATTGCTCAGGTGTGTCACTTAGACTATATACCAGCTTGACAACTTCTTATTCAATCATACAACTATGCAACTTTAATAATTTTAACAACATGCAAACAACTTAATTAAACAACTAAGTCATTACAATATCAACTTAATACAACTTAACAACTTTATAAACAACTTTAGCAATATACAACATATTTAAAATTCATCTATCATGTCAACTTACACATAAACGGTATAAATCAACTTAAGCACCCAACAACTCAACTATTTCAACAAAAGAACACCATGCATAAAGCTTCCCTAACTAAGAATTCAATTTCCATCTTGAACATAAAGTTGTGATTCAAAATATCATTTTATCCCTATAAAAATCAACCTAATGGAAATGAATTATTACCTCTTTATTAAAAAAATTATCATCTAATGGATGTAATTTAAATTTTAAATTCATTTCGATCCAATTTAAAGTAGTTTGTATTGAATAAATTTTAATTTTATTTATATTCTTACTCTTGTTTCTAGAAAATATTAAATAAATGATAAAAAGGGTTGGATTGTTTTTGACTATGATAAAAAAGGGTTGGATTATTTTCACAAAAAAATAAAACTTGGATTATTGTGCTTGAAAATTGTGGCAACACTCTTAATTACTTAGTTTTCATCGAACTACATATATTGTCGTACGCTGCTTAAATGCGACTTTTAGGTACAAACCAAAACAAACAGCTACTTCTTGAGTGACTTATATTTACTCTTCTGCATTTCAAGTATGAGTTATAAATACTCATAGTAACTCCTTTTCCCTCACAATAATCGACATCTTCATTAGTTAGTTGGTTGGAGACTTGGAGTGATAACTGGTAGCTTTTGTAACTCCGTCAGCTACTGCCTACTTCCTTACAATCTTTTGCTATAAGTATAAACTTCGCATTGCCTCAATCACCACCTCGTTTTCTTCGCCACCAACCTTATATAATAGGGGCAAATAAATGCTCGTGCCTACTATTTCTTCCTACATATATATAAACTTATAAACTATAGCGTATTATTTCCACTTTCACTTTCAGATATAGACTATATAACATATATTCATCTAGCTGTTTTCTTCAGCTAATAGCTGCAGGTACTCTGAATCACTTTCATGTACAAAATACGATTTTTGTTGCCTTTACTCCCCTCGATATATGTTTCTTACCTGGGGTCGTCTTGATTTTCTGTATTCATCCTCGTAGATCTGCATTTTTTTTAATAAGGGGTGTTTTAGTTTCCCAATGTTTTTTTTTTTTCCTTTCCTGTTATTTTTGGCATTATTGATCAACATGTCTTCTAAGCTTGTATGTGCTTGCTGCGTTTCTTATTTCATTGATTCTAATATGGAAAAATAAATCTCTACATTCATGATGCATCCCTCCCTTGTCTTGAGTAAGAGTTGGCTAGCATTAAGTAATAAGTGGCTTTGCCTAATGCCATTGTTTGTTTCAATCTTCAGAGAATGGCTGCTGTAGGAGTTTATAACCAAGCAATTGGGGTTTTTCAATCCCATTCTCGTGTCAACGATTTTAACCATCAGCAGAAGTTTAACAATTTTGTAAGACTGGTGACAAAGGATTTTATCAGCAGTAATTGCTTGTCAAGAAGGGATTGTAGTGTCATTAGATCTTCAGCGTCTCAAACATCAGTGGTTGACACGGTATCATCCCCTTCCAGAAGCAAAACTAGTGATAAAGACACTCACAAGAAATCAAGTAAGACAAACCCTGCTTTCATTTGATATTCATTAGATATTCATTATTGCTGCACATGTTTCTGTGTGTCAACGCTTGTTCATACGGATTGAATAAGAATATGCATATTGAATTTGGATTCACCAAGTTTTAGTTGATTGCCACATTCAAGAAGTTGAAGTTGAAACCATTGGATGTTGTCTAACTGCTGTGCAATTTATTCCTACTCAGATGAAGCTTCTTTGATCCTTATTCGACACGGTGAGTCCTTGTGGAATGAAAAGAACTTGTTCACAGGTTGTGTTGATGTCCCTCTAAGCAAGAAGGGTATAGATGAGGCAATTGAAGCTGGCAAAAGAATTAGCAGTATTCCTGTGGATCTCATATTTACATCTGCTTTGATTCGTGCGCAAATGACAGCCATGCTTGCCATGACACAGCACCGCCGCAGGAAGGTAAATGAAGGCATAAAGAGTAAATTATACTGAAACATCTTGAAATTTCACGAGATTGCAGATAAATCCTTTGTTTTTTCTACCCTTACACTAACTTCTCTTAATTATTTGAAAAGCATGACACTAATATCCCTCAGACATTATATTAATCTCCCTTAATTGTTTGAAAAACATTACACGTACTTGCTCTAAGTGATGTTGTAAACATTTAAAAGATAGGAGGCTATGAGCAATCTCACAACCTTAGAGAGTGTTAGTATAATTTTTTCATGGATAAACTATCCTCAGGCATTAAAAGAGACACATCATGTGAACTAATTTTCACTTGAGAAAGTTCAGAACATATTGTGCTCCTAACAGCTAGCGCTTAACTATGAAGGCAGGGGAATTTAACTCTATTTGTGTTCATTTTCTACAATATAGTATTCAAATGCCTTTTCCTAAACTATTACTTATAAACTTCCTGCAGGTGCCTATCATAATGCACAATGAGAGTGAACAAGCAAGGGAATGGAGTCAAGTTTTTAGTGAAGATACAAAAAAGCAATCGATGCCAGTCATAGCAGCTTGGCAATTGAATGAAAGAATGTAGTAATCTGTTTCCTACTTTCATTGTTTGCTATTACTGCTCCACAACCTTGTGTACAGCATATAATCTATAAGCCATACTTGTAATGATTTCAGGTACGGGGAACTACAGGGACTCAATAAGCAAGAAACAGCAGACAGATATGGGAAAGAACAAGTACATGAGTGGCGTAGAAGTTATGACACACCTCCCCCAAATGGTGAAAGTTTGGAAATGTGTGCTGAAAGAGCAGTTGCCTATTTTAGAGACCAAGTAGGTGGTTTAGTCTTTTGTATCAAGGTTCCTTTTTATGAAAATTTAGAAAGACCATATAAGTTCTATCATTAAAAAAATTAATCAGTGTTATGTGTGTTAAAATTTGACATTATTGCATTTATACGGGAACTGATTCCATTGACATTATACTGCAGATTGAACCTCAACTTTTATCCGGAAAGAATATTATGATTGCAGCCCATGGAAATTCCCTGAGATCCATTATTATGTATCTTGACAAACTAACTTCCCAAGAGGTGATTTAAGTATTCATAATTATGGCAACTTCTATGTTCACATGACATAAATAGTCATGATTCTTTTTGTGTCATCTTTTGACAGGTGATTAGTTTAGAATTGTCAACTGGAATTCCAATGCTTTATATTTTCAAAGAAGGAAGATTCATTAGAAGGGGGAGTCCAATAGGACCAACTGAAGCTGGAGTTTATGCCTACACTAGGGTATGCATCCATATCCCCTTTTATATTTCATTCCATTTTGATAAGATGCTGATTCTTTTAGCATTGTAGAAGTTTTGATTAAGAATTGATGTTTGTTGCTTTGGGAAGATGAAATGGCACTTGCAGCCACTAGAAACAGATAGAAAGAATACACTTCAAAATGTATTCATTATTCACAGCTATTGTTTAAATTTACTAACAATGTTATTACCCGGTCACAGCGTTTGGCTCTTTACAGGCAGAGGTTGGATGATATGTTCTAATAATTTGAAGGTTAGTTAATAGATTTACACTCACTTTCTTCGCTTTATGCTTCTCTCTTGGACAGTGTACATTCTTTTTTCTTTTCTTTTTTTCATTTTATCACCTTTATTTCATTTTCAGGTAAATCACGTGTTGTTCCACGGTACAGTTAATCCACGGTACAGTAAAGTTACATAAGGGCAAAAACAAGATGTTACCAGTTTTATAGTTAGATAGCATGAAAATCTGAGTAGGTCTTTCGGGGTGTTAATCTCAGTTTCAAACTAGTGGATTAGGATCCACACGCCACCCCAGTATTGTGCTCGTACGGTAAAGTAATTGCTTCCATGTGCCTATATAAATAAATCATGAGAGTCAATCTGTGTTTGTAAAATTGATTTTAAACGAACGTGATTTTATAAAAGTGATTCTAAGTAAATGTGAGTTTGTTGTAGCGTAATATCTGTTTGAATAACTTTGACATTCAATGTTGTATGGAAACTTATAATTAAAATTGATTTGAAGTATATAACTACTAAAATATGTTTTAATGTCTATATCTTCTTTTTTTTTTATGTGAATGTCTTTGGTATTATAATTCATTATTATGCAGTTACTTTAAACTTATAGTTTCGATGATTAATGAAACACAAAATTCACGAGGAATAAAATTAGTTTGTAATATATATCATGGTAAATATATTTGTAGAGTATTCATTGTGTGGCCATGAAGTAGCTTGATGAGTAGAGAGCAATGTAACAAAAAGTGGCATGTTGTATTGGATTTCATGCACTTCACTCATGTGTCTCCATGTAGCCAAGATTGACAGCAAAGATTGGCTTTCCAATTCCAAGTGAGAGACATGATTATCTAAAGAATGAACTTCACCCTTTTGTTATTCATCTAATTGGCGTCTATTTATAATACACTAATCTTGATTCTTGAAGCATGGAACGTAGAGCTATCACATCCACTTCTTTGATTTCATAATGTACGCTAGATCAACATTTTAAAACTATCTGAACCTCCTCAGGAATTGAACTTTTCAATTTCCTTCAACCACATTATTTTCAACTGCAGTTTCTCACTACGCTCTTTGGCCTAAAACTTTAGTTTGCTACTGCATTTTGTTAATTGCATGGTCCCAAGCAATTTAACTTGTACATATTTGGAGAAATTAATACGAACGAGTATCTAGAAATTTTAGTTTTTTGAACAATTTATTTTACTTTTTTTTTTTGTTTTTTACTTAATCACATATGTTCATCGATCGATCACTGGTATTGAAACTTTCTTCGATCCAACAGATACGACATTTATGTGATGCATAAAAACTGGTGTTTTAATAGTGCAATTAAGCAACTTGCAATATACACAGTGTCATCGCCTTTGGGACAACAAAACTTATTTTTAAAGATATTTAATATTATTTTTAAAAATAATAAAAATGATTACAAATTATTTTATCAGTATTTTTACATTAATCATTATATATAATGTTAATAAAATATTAATCAATAATTATTCTATATGTCAATAAAAACTCTTATAATAATAAAATATATATATATAAACTTTTGTGTCATTTTTAGTGACATTTATAATGACTACTAATATTAATTTTTAAATGTTTACAACTATTTATTTATTAACTTTTTATTATTGTCATTAAAATTTGAGAAAAGATTCCTATCTTTTATTATTCTTAAAAGAAAAAAAAAGTTATATCATTTGATGAATACTATAATAATAATAATTATTATTATTATTTATTATTATTATTATTATTATTATTATTATTATTATTATTTTTTGTAATTCAAATTTGTTAGCGATCAAAGTGTTGACTTAATTAAATCTAAACAATATTGATTCCAAGTTACATTCCCAACCGGAGAGACATGAATTAGTGTATTGTGATATAAAATAATGAAAATAATAATTAATTATATGCCTTAAAATAGTGATTAATGAGTCTAATTCAATTCTATAAAATTAATTTGTAATGTAAGGATTGTCTTCTATTTATATACTTTTTAATTAGTTTATCTCTAGTCAATGTGAAATTAAATTTTTTCTAATATACCTCCTCATGTTCTAGGATAGGTGATACTCGAATTTTTTCAATACACTTTCTCACGCTTAACTCTATTAAATTGGGTGAGTGACCCTTAAATCTAGGATAACTTTAATATCATCTTATAATAGTAGGTTGTGAATTTAATCCAACCCTACAAAACCAACTTAACTTGTAATTATGATGAAGATTGTTCTTTATTTATATACTCTTTAATTGTCTTATATTTAGTTAATGTGGAACTTGAATTTTTTTTTTTAATAAATGAATTAAAAGTTACCCTTACTTTTTTTTATCAATTATTTTTAATAATTATTTTTATAAATATATTTTTAGTGACTATTATTTATTAATCATTAGTAATTTTATTAAATAATAAAATATAAAAAAAGTTAATTTATTATTATTGAATAATTTTTATTAATAATAAATTTTGATGTAGTGTAGTTTATCGATATATGAATCTTTCGATCAATATTTATAGCAAGTGAAAGTAGAAATAATGTAATCATGCCTGGAGTTGATTTAGATCCTTTGCAAATAAACTTTTCTATAAATATTTAGCAAAGTAGAAGGGAAAATAAATTGAATTTTTTTATATGTTAAACTCATCTTGTAGTTTAGCTTTTGAAAAAGGTAGATATGAGATTTTTTTTTATAAAAATTAAATACATAAGTTAATTTTAACTTATAAGAAATGTTAGTAACAAATAATATATTTTTATTGATTTAAAATTATAAATTTTGGTCACTCTAATACTCTCTTTCTAATATCCTCCTTCTTTTTGATTGAAAATCATAAATTTTGGTGGTTCATACTACTACATTAAATAAAATGTGAGATTCACAAAATTTGTAATTTTAAATAAATTTTACCTAATAAAAGAATAATGATAAAAAAATAATGTTAACACTCTTCTTAACCAGTAAGAACTCACTTCATTTTTCTTTCTTCTATTTTTTTTCTTTGTTACTTATATATAAAAAGAAAACTCTTATTAAAAAAGGACCTTAGTCACTCTTATAATATATAGGTATTATGTACTTTTAATGATTGAATGTTTGGATTATCCTCTAAAGAGCTTCAATGAGGCCAGTGTCGTCATTTATTATTCATACAGATTTCGGGGGGAAATCTAAAATAATTTATTTAGATCTTAAGATCTTTTGGGTTTTTTTTTTCGTTAAATTTGAAATTGTGAGTAGATCTTTATTATTAAAATATTCTGATGGGAAATATTTTCTATGTAAAACAAGAAACTTATGCCGTTATGCATGGGACAAGAGGGGAAGGTTGTGAATTATTTTGGAATGATGTTGGCTTATTTTCGTTCTTGTAAATGTAGATAGGACCTTGGAGTTCGGAAGTCTTTTAAGAAGTAAGAACTGGTGGGTTTCTTGGGATTCAATCATATTGGTAAAACATTTTGTGTATGAAACATAACTCATCTTTTTCCACTTTTCAATGTAGAAGCAATTAAGGAGATACTGCGTTTTTTTGAGTTTCAATGTGTTCCGGCCAAGAGGTGGACTAGGATTTTTTCCTAGGTCGTGCCTCAAAGCCAGTTGTCATTCAACAATATCAGATAATCTTTGGGTCAACGCATTACCTTAACCAAGGTAATATGTAAATGCATCGAGCCTCGTAGTTAGCCTGTCAAATTGTGCATCCATCACATCAATCATTGTGACTTTTCTTTTTGTGCCTCGAGATGACGAAGTTCCAGTAGTACCACCAGATGGCACTGAATGAGTACCATCACCAGGACTACAAGAACCAATGTGTGTTGGCGACCGGTATGCTGTATCAAACCCTACCTGAAAAGGGTCATCCTGTGGTATGTCATCCACATCTGGCGATCACTTGTCATTCAACAATATCAGATAATCTTTGGGTCAACGCATTACCTTAACCAAGGTAATATGTAAATGCATCGAGCCTCGTAGTTAGCCTGTCAAATTGTGCATCCATCACATCAATCATTGTGACTTTTCTTTTTGTGCCTCGAGATGACGAAGTTCCAGTAGTACCACCAGATGGCACTGAATGAGTACCATCACCAGGACTACAAGAACCAATGTGTGTTGGCGACCGGTATGCTGTATCAAACCCTACCTGAAAAGGGTCATCCTGTGGTATGTCATCCACATCATCGTTCAAGTCAACCGTTACACTTGGCATACCAATATTTCTACGGGCTTGTCGCGCAGTCCTAGCCATATGGCCTGTCACCCGATCAACTCCCCATAATTCTTACATCAAGTCATAGTACCTAATGGAAGACACTCTCCATTTAGCTGTAGTATGCTTCGCCTACAAATAAAAACCATGATTAACACTCATAATTGCTATGTTTCACTAATTCAATAAATCACAAATGTTAAAAAATTACCTGCAGCAGATCATCTCATACTTCAGGCTCAGTTGTAAACCATTTCGTGGACTCATCCCACGCAAATCCACTAAACAAGTCGTGAACCTCCTGCCATCTATCCTTCAAACTTTTTTGTCTATTTTTAACATTATTTTTCGTGATACCAGTTAATCCAATCTGTCAGAGGGCTTCAACAATATTATTGTATGCTTGGGTTGTCCAACTACCATCAATTGCCCAAGCATACAATAATATTGTTGAAGCCCTCCGACAGACTGGATTAACTGGTATCACGAAAAATAATGTTAAAAATAGACAAAAAAGTCTGAAGGATAGATGGCGAGAGGTTCACGACTTGTTTAGTGGACTTAGTGGATTTGCGTGGGATGAGTCTACGAAACGGTTTATAGCTGAGCCTGAAGTATGGGATGACCTGCTGCACGAAATGTTTTAACATTTGTGAATTATTGAATTAGTGAAACATAGCAATTATGGGTGTTAATCATGGTTTCTATTTGCAGGCGAAGCCTGCTGCAGCTAAATAGAGAGTGTCTTCCATTAAGTACTATGACTTGATGGAAGAATTATAGGGAGTTGATCGGGTGACAGGTCATATGGCTAGGACTGCGCGACAAGCCCGTAGAAATATCGGTATGCCAAGTGTAATGGTCGACTTGAACGATGATGTGAATGACATACCACAGGACGACCCTTTTCAGGCAGGGTTTGATACAGCATACCGGTCGCCACCACACATTGGTTCTTGTAGTCCTGGTGATGGTACTCAGTCAGTGCCATCTGCTGCATCTGGTGGTACTACTGGAACATCGTCATCTCGAGGCACAAAAAGAAAAGGCCCAATGATTGATGTGATGGATGCACAATTTGACAAGCTAACTACGAGGCTCGATGCATTTACAGATTACCTTGGTCAAGGTAATGCGTTGACTCAAAGATTATCTTATATTGTTGAACGACAAGTGGTCGCCATTGAATGAAGAAACGAAATAATTAATAAGCAAATTAATATCTTGAGGCGAACATCAACAGTTCAATATCCTGAATCAAATATTTGGGACATGTTAGTTGCTATGAACCTGCAAGGCGAGCAAGTTATGGTTCAGTGTTATGATTTTTTGTGTAATAATTCATCACATGTTAGGCGACTTTTTGGCTTACCCCCACATCTCCGCCTCAACCAATTGTTAAAGTTCATGAGTGAAAGTGGTTGATTTGTCATTCGTAGTTATTGTATTTTTTTATGCATTGTATGTAATGTTTTGCTAATGGTTTAAACATTGTAAACTTGACCATAATGTTATAAAAGTATTTATTAATGGTGAAAGGCACATTTTAATGTTATTACTTGCAATTATGTTTTATGGAATATGTCTTATGTTTGACATCATATTTGTTATTGGTTATTTTATATATAATTTTCAGGTATGGCATCCAGTTCAAGAAAAAGAAGTTCAAAAGAAACAAAAGAAAAAACTTCTGCCACCTCAGACAGAGCAACTGGTCCTAGACTATCACAAATTGAACAAGTTCTAAATCAGACACGTTTTTTTAGCTAGCCTCATCAGATGATTAAATATGACAAGGAGTTTTACCACAAGATAGTCCTTCATCCAAAGGTTATGGACTTTAGTTACTTTGCCACATCAAGGCTGTATTTTCACCATCATATAGAATAT